CCTGCTTGCCTGCTTGCCTGCTTGCCTGCTTGCCTGCTTGCCTGCTTGCTTGCTTGCTTGCTGGGTGGGTGGGTTAGTTAATTGGCTGCAAAATACCACGTTATGCTATTACTTTCATACTGTAAAAAGCTATTCAACTGTGTTTAATGTGATTTCTATAGAATGGAGCTAAGAGCTTGGTAAACAGCAAAGATTCTTACGGCAAGACGCCATTACATTACGTTGCCGTACGATGCAAGCATGCAGCACAGGTAAGAAGCACTGCACACCATTGTCGCTCCTCCTTTCCTCACTTGACCCTTTCTTACACTACCCCTCCCACCCACTACAATCTCAGCGGTAAAGTATTAACAAAGTGCATTATATAATGGAAAAGATTATGCCACAATCGTGAGACAAATGAATAAAGATAATCGTCGAAAGTGCATCATGTTACTAGAACGACGTACTAACTTATGAACTGCAAATCATTTCCTTTAAACAGATAGTCAGTCTGTTGCATGCAGCTGGTGCAGACTTTTCTGCTTGTGATAACAACGAGCAGATACCTCTTCATTATGCTGCTATGTAAGTATCAAGTGGTGTTGATATTTTTTCTCGAACTGAAGTACACTTATCTATAACCAAAAAAAAAACATTTGTAGGAACCTTTCTTAAGCCCCGTTTACGCTGGCGATTTTTGCGGCGATTTTTGTGGCCATTTTTGGAAATAAGAAATCTTTTGTCTTATCCTTCAAAAGAGACATTTGCCTAGGAAAATCTTGGTGTCCTGAAATAAACTTTACAAGTAAATTCTTTACCATTATGGACACAATCGCAAAACAATTGCAGCAAAAATCGCCGCAAAAATCACTTGTGTAAACGGGGCTTTATACTGAAGTTATCATGACATTGTAGTCTGGTTCCAAGTTTGGATGTGTGACAAAAACAATAATTTCATCATTTATTTACTCTTTATTTTTGTAGGAGTGGTATTGTTGTCAGCATTCGCGCGCTTTTAGAAGCATCACCATGTACTGTCAACCATCCAGACAATCGTTCCCAGACCCCTTTTCACCTCGCGGCTTCCAATGGCCGTTCCGAAGCGTGTAGATTTTTACTACAGAAAGGAGCAGAAATAGATTACAGGTTGGTAGAACTTCAAAAGATTTCATGCATAACTTTTCTTTATCTGGTAACAAAACTGGTGATTGATTGGACTCTAGGCCAAAGAAATTCGTATGGCAGTAATGTGCAAGTACTTTGAGTATGCTGTCGCTCACTGCAATTGGCTTAATTTATTCCTCGAACCTTGTCTGTGCCGTGCCGTATAAGGTACATGAATAAAAACCAACTTGAAATACTGCTATGTGCTGAAAGAGAAAACAGTCGTGACAGGAAATCGGGCAATTAATAGGTTGCTATCAATAGACGTCACTTCCGGTAATAGCTCTTTTTTGATGGCTTGTAGAATCCTGGAGGTTGTTTTGATCTCTTGTTTTCTGGTTTGATGTCGTGAAAATAGTCAAATACTATAGTTTGAGGACTTATTTTGATGTGTTTTGACTTAGCATCCGCTAGTTGCCCCCCAGTTAACCGCTTGTTTGCCCCCCAGTTAACCGCTTGTTTGCCCCCCAGTCAACTCCAAAAAGTCTAGTGATTGATAGTAAGCAATACACTGCCGTCAATCAGAGTATGTAAAGGTACCAGACAATTTCTTGTGATTGATGACTGATTTCCTTCTCATGGTTTTTGTCTCGATCAGCGCATTTACTTACAGTAAATGGTTTTTGTTTTTCCAGGGATGATCTTCGGTTAACACCTCTATTCCATGCTGTCAAATCAAAGTGTCCTCTTTCAACAAAAGTGCTGTTGGAGTTTGGTGCAGATATCAATGCAGTGGATAAACACAGGGTACATAAGGGACCAGTCATTATTAAAGTCGGGGGGGGGTGAAGAAAATGGGGGGGGGGGGGTGGAGAAAATGGAGGGACTTGAAAGGTCAAAAGGAGGATTGGGATTTTTTAAACGATTGAAGGGGGTACCCAAAAAGCATGAATGCTATTAGGTTGGGGTCTGGAAATGTTTCGTCTCGCCTCATAGTTTATTCAAGCTCGAGGACTAATCGCTAAATGTTAGCGCTTGGCGTGCGCGTACATCCCTGTAGGCACAACACTCTCGTAAAAATGTAAACGTCTAAAATCTTTGTGACTAATGACGTTCTTTTCTTGTACAGAAAACCCCCATCATCCTCGCTGCTCTAGAAGGCAATGTTGATGTGTTTAAGACTTTACTCCAGTTTGGTGCTGACTTAACCTCAGTGTGTGTCCATGGTTATAGCGCGTTAGATACAGCCCTGCAAAATAATCAGCTGAATATATGTAATGAGATCATCAAACACGACAGGTAAGTACTTCTGACAACCACCCATGTAAGCTAACCAGGTGACAATGTTTGGTTAATATAGAGTTTATCGCGCTGTGATTGGTAGAGCGACCAGTGATTCTGAGACGATAATCACTGCTCGAGCAATGATTTTGAGCTATTTTCCAAAGTTTGCAAAAGCAGAAGTAATACTAAAATGTTTTTATGCTGAATTTCGTCTCTTCTCTGATTTTGAAGTAAATAATAATTGTTAACTAATGTTGTTTGTGGGTGGCGTTGCTCAAGCCCCAGATCGGTTAAGACGAGAGAGCATAAATAAGAGAGGGAAACTTCTTATTATCGCGCGCRCCATGTAAATTCCCGGTTGGGCTATTTTTAGTAACCGGATGCAGTTTAAATTTTGCCTTACCCTACTCCCGTGCGTCACCAACTTTCGCGCGCGAGCTCTTTCCCTTTCGTTTTCAGTGATCAAAGAAATAAACGGAAAGAGCGCGCTGCGTAGTATCTTTTTTAATGGTATGCCGGGGATAAATCTATGACTGAGCGCATTATGAGTTTCTTGGCGCTAGTTTTATGTTTTTATTGTGAAAGGTGGCAAGATGTCTTGTTGAACACTAAGCTAAATAAAGTGACCCCAATGAAGGAAATAATTGAAAAGTTTCCGTGTTTAGCCAAGGTAAGAGATCTTTAGTTGGACCTTCAGTATGGTTGACATGGAGTCCTGAAGATAAGTAAACGTCTTGGGTCCACTTTTCGCCTTGCTTGGCATACTCTGAATCATGATTGATATGTTTATAGTTTTTTTCCAAAACACCTGTAAGATATTTGTAATGTGTGCCATCAGAACCGCCAAAATAGATATGTATAGATAAATGGATGGATAGATAGATGGATGGATAGACGGACGGACGGACGGACGGA